TTGGGTGCATAGGAAGAGTGGCCACTGTAGCGCCTGGGTGGGAAACACAGTGCCAGGGATGCCAGATTGCCTTTGAATTACAGTAATTTGGTTAATGCAGCAACAGCAGACACTATGTGTTCTAAACAGTACCCATGGCGATGGCCATAGGTGTCTGGGGCCATCCACTGGACTTCCCAAATGTAAGAGATTAGCAAATGGGTTATATGAGCCTGCTCCTTCCAAATATACCTTGGTTTGTGCGGACATGGTGCCTTGGCCAACCTAAGCTTTCCCCTGTTACTGTGTGAAGCAGCTGGCCACCGTAATGGGGTAAGAGAAGCCGAGAAGTATCGAGGGACACCCAAGTTGAATAGACAGTGATTGGGGGTGTGTGTGTGTCCCATTCCAAAGGTCATAATGTAGAAGACTGGGCAAAAGAACATGGCATTGAATGGAGGTTTCCTCTCCCCTGAAACTTGCAAGCAGCTTGGGTAGTGGAAAGGAAAAATGGAATAAAAGCAGCAGACTAAATTACAGCTAAAACCACTTCAGCATGTGGACCCTGAGAAAGAAATGCCTACCAAGAAGGACTCTCGGTCGCTAACTGGGCTGAAATTTAAAAACGGAGCCTAGCTGCCACTTTGAAATATGGTCTCTCCTGCGAGCTGCACTTGAGGGAGAAGCCGGAACTGGTTTCCTGTCATCTGAACCATCGTAATAAAGGAGTTCTTTGGATTTGTATATATATTCTTAAATATGTTTTTATTGATGGAAGAGAGAGGGAGAGATAGAAACAGCAGTGATGAGAGAGAATTATTGACTAGCTGATTCCTACAGGCCCCTTTTTGGGAGACCAAAGCTGAGGCATATGCCCTGACCAGAATCGAACCATTAACCTTCTGGTTCATAGGTCCACACTCAACCGCTGAACCACGCCAGGGCCGAAGTCACATTTCAACCAATTGGACTGAGACTTTCCTTATCCAATCGGAGCTGTGTAGCTAGATCCTCATTTGCATTGTCACAGACCAATCAAAGAGTGGCTCCACTCCAGCCAATTAGGACAGTGCTTTTTAGACTAACATACAGTGAGGATTTCGGGTCCTCATTTGCAGGAATCAGCAGCAGGGAAGTGTTGCAGGAACCTGTAGCATAAGGAGTGCACTTGCTTTCCAGGGAAGGACAGGGAAGGCCTGGGAGGCCTGGAGCTGACAAGAGCTGGCAAGTGCCTCGCTTGACCGGGGCCATGCCTGGAGCCCCTTCACCGCCTAGGGGTTCAGCGCCACTGCTGTGCTATTTCATAATTGAGCTCTAACGCCACAGCTATGACGTCTCACCATTGACCTGTTTGCACCGAATAAAGTTTCCTCCTTCACCCACCGAACCCCAAATTGTGGATTCCTGTTGGACTTGAATTGGCTCCAACGACTACCCAGGATAGGTGAGTACTTGGTACCCCGGGGAACTGCTCAGTCTCCACTGAGATCCCATTGCCCTGCTGTAAACGGGGCCTGTTGAGATGCACTATACTTGGAACACGCACCACTGAAAGGGAGGGAGAGGGTTACTGGTCACCAGATCCTACTCCAGTCCCTCTCCTCACACCTGACCGTGCTGCCTCCCTGGCATCATGTATGGTATGCATAACCAGGTCAAGCTCCTAAAGCTGCCAACTCCCAGGTGGACACCTACAACCATTTGGCCGCTGTCTTTGTCCCCTCCATTGACCTGGAGGACATTATAGCACACGCACATGCTGGGACTGAGTCCACCCAGCAAGCTTTATACATGGCAAAGCCTGTCTTGGTTAAACTCAGAAATGTCTCTGAGAAAAGCTGTCCTCCGGAAGAGGACAGCCTCGAACATTGTTACTGCCGTGCAGGGAGGGCCCTGTGCCACCATCCGAACAGGTGCTGTGCATTCATACCTAAAGAGCTCGTTAACCGATCATCTCGTGTCAGTCACGTGAAGACACAAATGAAAGCCCTGAGTGATCTGATCCCCAACCGAGAGTACCTCCTGAGTCAGTGCTTCAGATCACGGGGCTTTCTGCAGAGAATGGTTCCTTATTTGGGGACTCGTCATCTTCATCAGTATTTCCTCTGTAAGGTGCCTAAACGGCCACTGTGCTGTTTCCAATGCAGCCAAATAGCTGCCAAAAACAAAAACAAAAACAAAAACAAAATGAGCCATCTCCATGCTATTGAAACCCCGCTCAGGGCATACTGCAGAAAAGGGGGTCGTGTAAGGGCAGTCATGAGGGGTGGAGTGTTGGAGGGGTTCATTCACTGGATATGCCTGTTCCTTGACCCAGGAGCTGGCCTGGTAATCAGAGACCCATTCCCCTTTCCCATGCCCTTAAGATGTACATTCCACGTGCCTTCCCCATTCTAGAAGCTGCCTCAAGGACACAGCCTTGAGAGAGTAAAGTGTTGAGACCATTTAGATGCCGCCTCCACCCGAGTACCTGGCTCCAGGGAGTTTATCAAATGTCTCTCTGCCATCTGCGGGGGCGGGGTGTCACGTCCTCACTCTGGGGCTGGCTGTCCGCCTTCGGGGAGAAGCCCCCGTTAGCCACCTTTAAAAGAGGCGACCAAGAGGCGACCCAGTGAAAGCCTCTATATAACCTTGTAAGATTCCAGCAAGCAGGTGTGTGTATGTGTGTGTGTACGTGTGTGTGTGTGTGTGGTGTGTGTGTGTGTGTGTGTGTGTGTGTAATGGGGAAAGTGGTACCGAAATGCTTTCCCCCCTTCCTGAATTTGTGAAGAAATGATTTGGATCTGCCTTTTGAAGCTGTGTTTTAGAGGCAAACCTGCCTGAGTGCACGTCCCAACCCTGGCACTTACTAGCTCCTTCTGTGAATCTTAGATTCCTCATCTATAGATGAGGGGGAGCAACCACACACACCTGCCAAGATGGATGGCAGGGTGAAGGGAGATGATAATGCATCCTCATGCAGGTCCCGGCCTAGGATAGATTCTTAGGTGGTTATTTGGGCACCCAGTTTGAAAACCCTGTGCCCCATTCAGGCAGCTGAACAAGGCAGGGGTCTGGGACCTCTAGGATGGCACACGAGGTTGACCAGCCTCTGTCACTTGTGCTTACTGTTTCTGTCCCCAGATCAACACACCACTGATTTAATGTCACGTTCCCCACTGTCATCAGGTTGGATCTGGTTTAGCAAGAGGGGTGGCGGAAGGAAGAGAGATTTCAGAGTAGATCCCTACCAGGAGGGACATTCCCTAAGCTGCCTTGTTCCCCACCAGGCCCCAAGGAGTGTACCTTAAGCTTGGCCTGCCCCGGGGGACACCAGGTGGCTTTGCCCAGCTTGGCAGGATGCGTTGGGCTGGCCACTGTAACTTTCTGTTCCTGAACTCCCATGACGATTTAACACCATTGATTCTATAGGTTCCAGTCATCTGATCCCTGGCTGGGGCAAGCCACACCCACCTGCCAGCAGGGGCGGATTTCCAGTGGTTTTCAGGAAAGAAGAGGTAGGTGGCTGACAGCCCAGTCCTCCCCTCTATAGATCCAGCAGTGTTTCCATCTGGCACATAAGGGGCAGAACACACACACACACACACACACACACACACACACACACGCACGCACGGACGCACGCACACACCCCAAAAAGAATGCAGTCAGCGCTACCTAGAACCCCAGCTAAAATTTCCTGCAGGCTCTGCCTCCTGGGAGGGGGGCAGGCTACACCTATACTTGTTGCTTTCTCTAGGGGTTGCAAGGGGCACCTGGCTTTTCAGTTGCAGGCGGGTTCGGGCTCCGGGAACGTACCCCTCCATCCTTTAGCAGAGGGAACTGTGGTTGTTGCATTGCCCTTTCCTCCCCTTTTTTGCAGCATCTCCCCCTCTGGAAACCCCAGGCTGAGACTGACCTGGGAACAACACACCGCGATGCAAAGGAATGCCGCCTCCACCCGAGTACCTGGCTCCAGGGAGTTTATCAAGTGTCTCTCTGCCATCTGCGGGGGCGGGGTGTCACGTCCTCACTCTGGGGCTGGCTGTCCGCCTTCGGGGAGAAGCCCCCGTTAGCCACCTTTAAAAGAGGCGACCAAGAAACTTTCGCCGGGGTCCCCAGCCCCCCAGCAGGCCTCGCCCGCGCCCCCCGCCTCCGCCCTCTCCACAACGCCCTCCCCCCAGCAGCCTGGAGGAGGAGGGGTGCGGGAGGCCAGCTCGCTCCGTGCGCCCAGGGTCCTGCTTTCCTTCCGGGAGGCGGGGAGAGGCGAGGTCCCCCCTCCCCGAGCGGGCCCTGCCGCCAGCCTTGGTCCTCGCCCCTCTGCATCCGTGCACAGCCTCCTCTCCGAGCCGCGGCTGCCGCCCGCATTGGGGATTTTGCCTCAAAAAGGGGGCCTGGAAGGAGGAGAAGAGGAGGGACACGCAGACCGGCGGTGGCAAGCAACGGGATCCGGAGTCCAGAGCCGCGCGGGGGAGAGGACCGGGAGGCGGCGGCAGCGGTGGAGACAGCGGCTGGGAGACTCTGCTGCTGCGCCCGCCCGCAGTGCATCAGCCCGGCCGCCCTGACATCCCCTGGGGGGACCGTTACCGCTGGGCATCGTGCACTGGTTAACAGGCTCCGAGCTGTTCCGCGACTTGTTTTAAGCATTTCCATCCCCCCCCCCCCCTCGCTCTCGCTTTTAATCTTGTCTCTCGTGGCGTGTGTAGGGGGGAGGAGAGGACTTTATTTCCATTGGCTAAGCTCTCCCTTCCCACCCACATCCCTTCCACATCACCTTGGTGTCTCCCTAAATAAAACCAGCCCTCCTTATCGCCTGGAAAAAATCAGGAGCCAGAGTTTGAATGGGTTTTATATAAACACTCATCCCCCGTCGTCAGCTGGCGGCTCTGGGCTCTCAGGATAAACTCGTCGCACCTGGCCTGATGCTCGCCCAGGGTTCTCTCCCTCGGAACGGCAAGGTCTAAGCCGAGCCTGGAGGACTGGAAAACTCTCTGGAAATTCAGATCAACCCGAAGCCAGTGGCAGAACTGCACAGGGTCCCCATGGACCTCAAGGAGAGCCCCAGCGAGGGCAGCCTGCAGCCCTCCAGCCTCCAGATCTTTGCCAACACCTCCACCCTGCACGGCATCCGCCACATCTTCGTGTACGGCCCCCTGACCATCCGGCGCGTGCTCTGGGCCGTGGCCTTCGTGTGCTCGCTGGGCCTGCTGCTGGTGGAGAGCTCCGAGAGGGTGTCCTACTACTTCTCCTACCAGCACGTCACCAAGGTGGACGAGGTGGTGGCCCAGAGCCTGGTCTTCCCGGCCGTGACCCTCTGCAACCTCAACGGCTTCCGCTTCTCCAGGCTCACCACCAACGACCTGTACCACGCCGGGGAGCTGCTGGCCCTGCTCGACGTGAACCTGCAGATCCCGGACCCGCACCTGGCGGACCCCACCGTGCTGGAGGCCCTGCGGCAGAAGGCCAACTTCAAGCACTACCGGCCCAAGCAGTTCAGCATGCTGGAGTTCCTGCACCGCGTGGGCCACGACCTCAAGGACATGATGCTCTACTGCAAGTTCAAAGGGCAGGAGTGTGGCCACCAGGACTTCACCACGGTGAGTACTTTGGTTTTCGGCTTCCTCTTGCGCTTGGTCCCGTTGGGAAGAGCCACGCCGGTGGTCTCCTGCTTGGGTCTGGGGTCTCGCTGTGCTTTGGAGCCAGGGGAGAGGAGGGTCGTTGGCCAGAGTTGTTGGAACGGATCGGAGAAGTCTGCCTGCTGGATGGGAGCACTGTTGTCTGGTCCGATGGAGGGAGGGCGTGAGAAGGGAGCTTGCCGTAGGGGGTTCACGTCTCCCCATGTGCCGAGTGGCCTCCTCCCAATCAGAGGGAGGAGGCCTGGGTTGTCTGTTGTCCAGGGCATTTGGTGTCTGAGCTGCCTGATTGGAACAGCTTGTCATTGACGAGGTGGCATTTTTTTCCTTCCTCTCTTTCTGCTCGGAAGTGCCATCAGGCACCGCATCCTGTGGGCTGGGCTGACGCTAAAACCGCCAGGGAAGGGGGTGTGGGGCCCCAGGCAGCCTGGATGGTCCCAGAAGATTTGGGAGCTTGCTGGAGCAGGTGCTGCTCGCAGAGGTGTGGGAATCTCTCCGCTTCCTTTACTCGTGTGGATGCAGAGCTCCGGGCAGAGAGAGGAGAGGCTGGGGACGCCAGGTCTCCATGGGTCCGGTGGCAGGTTGGAAGCAAAATGATGTGCAGGATGCCTGAGCCAGAGAGGAGGGTCTGGGCGGAGGCCCGTGGGTCGGGTGGTCGGAGACGTGCCTGGGAGAGTGAAGTGGCCCAGGCTGGCTTATCTGGGAGCTTCAGCTTGAAACCGAAAGACTCGGTTTGCTGTCTGTACAATTGCTTAACAGTGTGGATGTCAGAGGAGTGGCGTGGGGAGTGGGGAGCAGCTGTGGGATTGGAAAGCCTCGAGGAAGAGCGTGGAGCTGAGTAAAGAGGGGAAGCTGAGGGGATGCGGCTGACATTCTGGAGGGGGCTTCCTGGAGGGGCAAAGGGGGAGGAGAGCTGCCGCCGCCAGGGTTCTTTCTCTGTTTGCCTACTGAGTGGGCTGCTAAGCATAACTTGGCATAGCCGGTCGAAACTGCAGCTGCCGACAACTCCTTTCTCCCCAGCAAGTCTGGGGCATCCGGGTAGGTGGGACCCTCCAGAAGCCCAGTGTGGTTGCTTCTCCCATTGCTGCCTGAGGGAGAACTCAGAGCTTTGGAGTCTCAGAGCTGTGAGTGAGTCATACTGTCATTGTAAGTTTGGGATGGCAGGTGCAGCAGTGGCAGAGGGACTGGACACTGTCATGGGCACTTGTCTGGGGCCCTCGGCCTAATTGAGACATACCCTACCTTTCCTACGGTGTATCTGTTCTCCCTCTGCTCTCAGAGCCACTGCCCACCAGCCTCTTGCTCTGAGTTTCTTTGAATGCTACCACCAGTCTCTGCCTGCAGCCTCGATGCTTGCTGTTGGCTGTCTCTGATTCCAAAAAAGCTCAGAATGCCGGGGGGCACTGCCTCTTGCAGCCTTTAGAGCTCTGTTTCCTGGGGGAGCTGTTTTGTGTGATCCACTTTAAACCTTGAGGGGTGAAAGCACAGCACAATCCGTAGTAGTGTATGCTAAAGAGGAAGTGAATCTGAGCCGGGAGAAGGGACCAGCCGTACTGAAAGCCCTTCTGAAAGAGAGCAGACAGGATCCTAAAACATGTCATGCACAAATGATACCTTAGGTGGTTGGGGAAAGGTGGGGGATATGCCTCCTTCTTGGGGGCTGCAACCATCTCTGTATTCCACCCCATGCTTTCTAGTGCCATAGCCACACTCAGTTCCCCTAGTGCACCATGCACTCAGCTGTTCCCCTGTCTGCCTGAACCCACACGGAACGCAACGGCAGAGAGAGGGCGGCACAGAGAGAAACTGCAGTCAGACCCTGGATAGAGTTCGCAAGCATTCTCATAGACACCTGATCAACCAGTGGCTTCCTCTCCGTTTATGACCAAGTTCCATCCTGTTTTGCACTTGGCCCATCATTTGAGTTGTTAGGGTCCCAAGAGGCTGAAGATTGTAAAGCCTTACCTGAGCTGTTGACCACCTCAGCGTGTGTTTCAAATAGTGAAGTTGCCGGTGGATACGGTTTATTACTCAGTAAGTGGAATGTCATCCTCCCAAGTTCAAAACTAACCTGGTTGAGTGTCCCGCCTTGGCCTGCCCCTCGATGTGTGCACTCCCCCAGGACTGGAAAGGGGATGAGCTTCAGGCATGGATCTTCAAGTTACTCAGGGAGGGTCAAAGGGCATGTACCCCAGGAAACCCAAAGGATAGGCTGGCCTCTTCCAGCCGTTGATCACAGCGAGCAGCCAAGTTGAGCCTCTACAAGAGAGAGCATGATGCCAAGTTTGTTCCAAGGCCTTCCCATTCCCCTTGTCTCCCTGTCCTTTTTGTCTGGAGGACAGGGGTGCTTGTCCTTGGGTTCCCACATCAACAGGGCACAGAGGCCTTGCAGGTGGTGGTGGGAGGAGTGGGTTCACTGGGCTCTCTGTCTTTCATTCTCTTTGCTGCACATCCCTGTCCCTGGGATATAACTCTTATATCCATATAACTTTTCACTAGACCCTGCATTGGGCTGTCCCATACGGAGTGGCTTCTATCCCTAAGTGCTGGGGCTGACATATTTGAGAAGTTAAGTACGGATTGGTGGTGTCACAGGGGGGTTATGTTTTCTGTTATTATTATTTTTTTCCTATAAAGCATACCTAGTGCCATCTCCAGGACTAATGCTTTCACATAAGCTTTCTTATTTCAGGCTCTTAGCTGGTGTGCAATGAAGCGCGTAATACTCTTTAATTAGTGAACGAGCCATGATTCTAGGTGAGTGAAAGGCTATTTGTGGAGGTTAAAAGCCAGGTGTGGAATTCCAGCAGCCATGCACACAGGTGTGCTCCGTTTCATGCAAGTGCACTCTTAGCCCTCCCCTGGGCAATCTGGCTGCAGGTAGGCGCGTGCTTTTCCTTCCTGGGAAAGCAGAAGAGGGCTTTCACTCCTCCGGAGTCTACGCAATGGAGATTCCCCCACTGACCCAGAGTGGGAGGAAGAGGAGTAGGGAGAAGAGGGTTGGATTGGTGGTGGTGGTGGTGGTGGTGGTGGTGGTGATTCTTCAGCCATGATGCCAGCTGATCTGAGGTTAAGATTAGAAGTAGGAAGACATAGGTTTGAATCCCACCTCCATCGTTCTTTAGCTTGTTTCCTGGGTTGTAATTCGTACCTTCTCTAGGCCCTCTAACATATGATAATAGCACATGATTTTCTGACTCACAGGATTGTGGGAAGGATGAACCATATGAGACAATATACGTGAACATTCTTTTGTTCATGCAGATGTAAGGCAGCTTATTATCAATATTAGTAAGAGGCCGTTGTCCAACCCACCTGATCTGTTCGTGGCCCTTCATAGGAGCCAGTGGATGAGTAATGCTGTCAGGACAAGCCAGGAAGTGGGAGGCGGCTGCTGCTTTTCCTTCAGAGCCTGTGGTGCGGCCCATTCTTATGGAGATGGTTTTCTCAGAGTGGAGGTCACCGTTGGGTTCAGCAGTTAACCACTGCTGACAGGTAGCATCCCCACTGTTTGTGACTGTCACGTGGCTGTTCCACTTTGCTTCTCTGCTGTCACATTCAGGAATGCAAATGACCCTTCAGTTTGCATGGTTAACCTGCTTTCCATAGTCGTGGGTATTTGTACTTTCAAATTGAGATTTCTTAGGAGAGGCATTTATTTTCTTATGGAAAGAAAGATCTCTCCACTGAGATCTTGTTAGAGGCACTTCTAGGGATATTTTTTATCCACATCCCATTGCTTCATAGAGACACGGAGGGGAAGGTTTGGGAGGGGCATGGTTGGGTATTCTTGCACAAGGTTGGTGAACCCATAGTGACCTGAAATTACTTCTAATTACAGGAGGAGCTGGGGTGTGAAAATTGTGGGCTTTGGGGAGAGATCTGAGTTGCACTTACAGTTGTGCCCCCCATTCATTGTGTAATCCTGGGCAAGTTCCTTAACCTTGCTTTCCCCACCTCTGAAACAGGAGCGATAATACTACCACTTAGACTGTGGCACTGACCCTGTGAGGCGAGGTATGTCAAGTTCTAGTGCGTGGCAGACGCCAACTGCTGGGTTGCTTAGTGTCCGGCAGGAGTACCTCCCCAGTCTGCACTTGACACTGACCGACTCTCTTGACTCCCATCCAGTGCTCTTCCCACTCTTCCACCCTGTGACTCACCAATAGCTTCAGAGCACAGGCAATGTCTGTGTTTGTGGGGCTTGTCATTTTCATGATATGTTAATCTTTCTCTTCTCCTGGTATGTTTCCTTTGTATCAGCTCTGCTGCCTAAATGTCCTCTCCTTACCCACCATCTTGACATCCACATCCCAGCTTGTACTCCTAAACTCAACCCAGGCACCTTGTACCTACTCCCCGGATAGATGTTGAGTGACCTGTGGACCAGGCATATGGCATTTCTCACAGTGTGTCTGTCATGTGAGTGCACACACATCCATCCCTTGTCTGTCAATCAAATGGAGCAGGCAGTCTGTAGTGTGATAAACACAGACTGGATCCTTGCCATCGGAGGCCTCACAGCCCGTTTCCCATCCCCTCCAGATGGGGGACTGGCGGAGAGCAGGAGTCTTGTCTCATTGAACACATGGCCTGCAAACATCATGCCAAATTCAGGGATGTAAATACCCAGTAAAGGTTTGTCGCTTAAATCCTTACTTGCTTTTTCCTGAACTGACCCAGCATTCTTTGCTCTCATTGGCATTTTTTTATGTACCATTCGGACCTCTCTCTCCATGTCTATCCATTTAAATCAGTCTCACCTTTTATAATCCATCTCTAGAAGCCTTCTCCAGGAGACCATAGCCAGTCCCTCACCCTACAACCATAATCTATGTTAATCTCATCTTTCTCTTCCAAATGGCATTTTGGCTTTTTCCTTGGTTCAAGCAGTCATTTTGCTTTTCCTTGCATTAGACTCATGAAGTGTTGAGGCTAAAAGCGACTTTAGAGATAATTCAATT